AAAAAAAAAAAAAAAAGCAAGAAAATTAATTTTGGGGCTCAACTTAAAAAAAAAAAAAAGTTCTCATTCCACATATTTCAAGTGATAATTGATTTGATGAAATTTCAGTTCAAAGAGAATACTGATCCCACTTATTAGGAATTCACTCTAAAGGATTTTACCAGTAGGTTAATACTATATTACAGTTTTTACACCTGGGTTTTCTTTTCCTTTTTTAGAAGCTGATGTTCTGAAGCAGATCCACTGAGAAAGGAAATTGCTTGATAGAGAGGTGAGTGAAATAAAATATTGAGGTGAGATTTTTTTAATATAAATTTTATTTATTTTGTTGTTGTTGAGAATATACACAGCAAAACATACACCAATTCAACAGTTCCTACATGGACGATTCAGACACTGATTACATTCTTCAAGTTGTGCAACCATTCTCACCCTCCTTTTCTGAGTTATTCCTTTCCATTAACATAAACTCTCTGCCCCATAAGTTTCCTATCTAATCTTTCAAGTAGCTGTTGTCAATTTGATCCCATATAGATAGATCCTGAAAGAGCATAATGCTCAAGGCAGACAATTTTTACTAGCTAAGCGAAACTATTGTTTGGTTTTAAGAAGACTTCAGGGGATATTTTTGTTTTGAGATTTAAAGATTATCAATAGTTTCAGGGGTTCATCCAGTCTCCATGGCTCCAGAAAGTCTGGAATCCATTAGAATTTGAAATTCTGTTCTGTATATTCCCCCTTTAGATCAAGATTCTTCTATAGAATCTTTGATCAAAATGTTCAGTAAGGTAGGTGGGCACGGAGGTGAGATTTGAGAAGGATCAAGATGAAGGAAGGGAAAAAAGGGCCTTGTACTCGCTGGTTATAGCAGAAGTGTGATTCCTATCTTTCTGGCACCAACTTGATATATAACTTTGCAAAGTCACCATAATTGTTCTGCTTCCTTTTATCCGACAGCAAAGCAGGGTGAGTCTGGTCTCTAGTTCTTGAACCCTCCCAGCTCTTTTCTGAGCCAGAATGCAAAGTGCAAGAAAAACATTATACATGTTTCTATTTGCCTCTAATAATTTTCAGATCAAATCTCAGAGGTTAGATCTATTTTAGGAATATAACGTGTGCCTGAACCTCCCAATGGTCATTGATGTGACTCTATGGCAGAAATAGCCAAAGAATTGATTCATTAACCGAGTCTGAAGTAAATTCTAAAAATCCACCAGACTGCCAGACTGTGTGCCAAATTTCCAATAGTTTTTTTCTTGTAAGCAAAGCCAAAGCAACAGCACAAGATATAGTAAGCAAATCTGGATTGTTGGATATGGGTGTGTAAATAAACTTCCAAACAATTATGCTGTGGAAGAAGTCTGTCCAGAACATTATGATCACCCACCAGAAGCTGGCTTGAATATAAGGAGATGTCACTGGAAATAATATAGGATGCCTTGGCTCTCACCATGGCTATCATAGGTCAAAGTCAAAAAGTACTAATAAATAATAATAGTAAATATTTTCTAACATTTTACACTTGACTGAGGACAGTGCACAAGTCAAAGAATCAGCCAAAAAGTCCAGATTCAGCTGTAAAACACTAAAGAACACAAACTATTAATGATTCTGAGTCATTACAGTACTTCTAGATCCAAAACGAACATCCAAAGCACACACCTGGGAATGGAAACGTTTGAATAAGAACTTCAACTTCGACTTCTGGCGCACCAGCTGTAAAAGCAACGACTGAGTGTAGATTTTATCCTGGCACGAAGAAGAATTTTGAGCTGGGGACATGATCCAATTTGTGTGTTGAAAGATCATTCTGTGGATGGTTTGAAGAGGAGCAAGGCAGGAGGCCTGAAGACTAATTAAAACCAAAAAAACCAAACCCACTGCTGTCGAGTAGATTCCAACTCATAGCGACCCTATAGGACAGAGTAGATCTGCCCCATAGGGTTTCCAAGGAGCAGCTGGTGGATATGAACTGCCGGTCTTTTGATCAGCAGCCGAGGTCTTTAACCACTGCGCCACCAGCGTGGCTATAAATCAGAAATAACAACAGCCCAAACTATGGCATGGCAATGGGTATGAAAAGAAAGAGATGGGTTTTAAAGATATTTAGAAGGTGTGGGGTGTGGGGTGGAAGCAGGAAGCAAGGAGTTTGTGAAGATTAATTAAGTGCATGGAAGTACCGTTCACCCACCAGAAGTGGTTAAGTAAGTTCTAATTTAAGTCCACCTGAACATCTTAGCTCAAGAACAACGTCGACACCCTCAATAAAAAGCCACACCCTCACAGGTGAGCCCTCTAGTCTGCCCCTCAAACCTGCTTGCCTGACCTTATCTGGGAGACTGATTTGGGGGTCTGATCTTTGCTCTCTAATTACCCCCTTGATGGGTTCATGATATTCCTTGCTTTCTAAGGCTTCCTCTAATGGGGCTTGAGGCTTCAGTGTCCTTTGCTCCCAGTTCGAGCCCAGAGTATTTCCTACCAACCCTATGCTGGGGCAGTAGGGATGGAGGGATAGGAGTTGTCCCCTAAAACCCAAGTTGTCCTCAGCATCCTCAGTCCTGGTCCTACTCTCAATCCTACAAATTCTTTTCATCCATATGAGGCAGCGAGGCCCAAGACACTCAATGCCAGGCTCTTGTTCTGGCATCTAACAAGAGGACAACCAGTGTTCCCTGCAGACTAACAGTGCCCTTGAGTGACAGGTGACTCAGCTGTGGCTAGCTAAAGAAGTTATAACACAAAATACAGAATTCACTGCCACAGCAAAACTGCACTCCTGCTGTGCTGCTGCCACTCCTAGAGAAGTTCCTTCTCAACCCAGAGGAGCACTGGGCCTTTCTCTTTCAGCTATGATAGTAATATCAGGTCACAGAAGCTCTGGGTTTGGGCAGAATGGTAAGTGGGAAGAGGGTACACCAATGGTTTTTTGCCTCGAGGGAAAAGTAGACCAATGAGTTCATTTAGGTCCAGCTCTTCCACTCTGCAAACACTCCCCGAGGCCTCCTAAGAAATCAAGCTCCAAGTCTGGTCCCCGCTTGGCAGGAGATGGCCATCTGTGCTGTGGCCAGGCCACTGTAGGACCTGGGAAGTTGAGTTCCTTACTTTGGAGCTAAATGAATGGCCAGGTAGGAACTGGCAACTTCTTTTTCCACAATTAACTCAAACCCTTGAACTCCAGCCCTTTGAGCAAGGAAAACTTGCTTTAAAGATAGAGATGAAACAGGCAGGGTGCTATCTACCTTCACTGCCAAAATTTTTTTCCCAGTCTGTAGGTTCTCTTTTCACTCTTTGGAAAAGTCTTTTGATGCACACAAATGTTTAATTTTTCGGAGGTCCTATCCATCTAGTTAATCTTCCGCTGTTTGTGCATTTTTAGTTATGTTTGATAGTCTATTTATGCTATAAATTAGGGCCCCTAGGTTTGCTCCCATGATCTTTATAGTTTTATGTTTTACATTAAGGTTTTTGATCCATCTTGAGTTAGTTTTTGTGTATGGTATGAGGTATAGATCCTCTTTCATTTTTCTGCAAATAGATATCCGGTTTTGCCAGCACCATTTGTTGAAGAGACTGTCTCTTCCGCATTTAATGGATTTCAGCCCTTTGTCAAAGATCAGCCAGCTTTCCATAGGTAGATGGGGCTCCTTTTATACTTCCAATAAATCCCCCCTTTTCTGCAAGCTGGCCAGGGACGGTTTCTGTTGCTTGCCCACGCCTTCAGAGATGAAGGAACAACTGACTGTCTCATGGCAAGTAACCAAGAACCTTGCTAGTACACGTTTGTCCCAAAGGGCTGCTAGCATACCACTGTGCTTCTCAAATTGCAAGCAGTTGCCTTGCATGCCAGAGCTTACATGGATTCGAGTGATCCATTTTTCTCCAAATACATCAAGTTTACCAGTAAACTTTCTGGGAAGAAATCTAGAGGACCAAGGGGAGTGGAAATTACCCTAACCTGGGATCCTCACCTGGAAAATCTGGCTGCTGTATGGGTGCCTGACCCGTAATTCCTTCCTAACCAAGTACTCCAGTCAATCAGGTCTGCAGGGCTTTTCGTAGCCCTGTGGTAAAATGAACACCCTGTCTTATGCCACCACATGTGAAGGCATTCAAGGTTTGTACCACCTCTTGATTCCTAAACACCCTGGATTTCCCTATACTCTGACCTACACTCCCCACATGAACATGAAGCCATCCTGGTGATGGTGGTAGATATAGTCACCACCTTGACATACATCAGCTCTTGCTCCAGCCCAGCTACAGGCACTTATTAATATCTTCTTCCATGAGTTTCTCAACCACCATATTTCCATCCTCAGCTCCTAGCTATCTTCTGGTTTTGGCAGACATTGGTCAAAGCCCTTTAAGTATAAATTTACTTGTCCAGTACCCACTAACTATAGTGAATCAGTTGGCTACTCAGAATATCTATGTGGTCATACCTCCTACCAGCAACAGGACTATTCAAACTAATCAATGTTACCAAATTCACACGCAACTCACTGCACTGCACGTCTCAACTTGGTCCTCCTCATTCCATTCCAACTCGTGGTATTTCTTTTACTCCTGGCTCCAGTGACAGCCAGCAGTCAGCTAGTACCTGAGAGAACTTCAGGCTGGCCGAGGTCTCCTGGACACCTAGGTGAGACACAATCAAGCTCTCCTCCAGTTCAACACACTACCCATCTGTGCTGCTACATGGAGTCCTTCAAGTGATGGATCATCAACTCAGAGTCTTCTGACTCTTCCTACAAACCTCCCTGTGAATCTAACTCATCTTTAACTGGTCCCTGTTCTCTCTGACCCTCTGAGATGCTGCCCCAAGCCTGTGTCCTTCTGATCAGTCCAGACAACCTGGGGTGGGGAACCAAACTGTAACTTGAGAGGTGCTAGATTCCCAACAATGCCATGGCCAGAAAGGGTCCCTACGCTTCTGGCAAAGGTTCAGCCCAGAGAAACAGACATGGGAAACCACTTCTCACTTTCAGAATTTTCCATCAGGTGACACTTGTTCCACCTATGGAGAGAGATGGGGGTGGGGTGGAGGTACCAGATCAATGTCTGCAACTGTTCCCACTCTACCCATGATTTCATGTACCCTTGCCTTAAGGAATTTCTCCATGTGCTGACTTGGATCTTGCCTGAATTCTGATGCAGACCTTTCCTTTTGGGTTTGGTTATTGCTCTCTAACTGGTCCCATGGACTAGGTATTTAGATTAGTCCTTGCTTCCCAAGGCCACCTTGCCTAGGGCTGGCTTGGGGGCCTGTCTCAATTTCTCTCAGATCTGACTTTGGCTCTTAAGACCTTAAGCATGAATATTAAGCATAAATCAGAGCCCTGAGACCCTCAGTCTTCTGATAGGGGAGGGTGGTTGGCAGAGTGTGTTGAGTTAGAGGTGCCTGTGAGAAATGTGTGGTTCTTGTGCTTACGAGAAAGGTCTAAGCTGGAGATAAAGATTTAGGAATCAACAATGCATTAGAGACGGTAGTAGAAGCCACAAATGTGGATGATATTGCCCAGGTAGAGTGCGCTGCATGAGGAGAAGAGAATAGAGGACGAAGCCCTGAGGGGTCGAACAAGTAAGGGTCAGGCAGAGGTGCCTGCAAAGAAGTCTGAGAAGGAGCAACTGGAGAGGCTGGAGCAAATCTAGAAGAGAGAGGCTCCCTTGAAACTCTGAAGAAACTTCCAGGAAGGAGGGAGTAGTCGACAATGTGAAATGTAGCTGAGAAGTCTAATAAAATGAGATCTGAATTAGATTTAACAACTGGTGTTACTGCAATAACGCGGATGGGAGCCGCCTGCCGCAATAGTCAATTCTGAGACGGAGGGGTGAGCAGCAAGATGTTTATTATATATCGATGTCTTAGTCATCTAGTGCTGCCATAACATAAATACCATAAGTGGATGGCTTTAACAAAGAGAAATTTATTTCCTCACAGTTAAAGTAGGCTAAAAGTCCAAATACAGGGCATCAGCTCCAGGGGAAGGCTTTTTCTCTCTGTCGGCCTTCTTCTCTTCAGTGTTCCCCCAGACTGGGAGCTTCTCGGCCCAAGGACCCCCGTCCAAAGACGCGCTCTGCTCCCGGCGCTGCTTTCTTGACGGTATGAGGTCCCCCGTCTCACTGCTCACTTCTGTCTTTTATATCTCAAGACATTGCCTCAGGACACAATCCAGTCTTGTAGATCAGGTCCTGCCTTACTAACACAACTGCCACCCATCCTCCCTCATTAACATCATAAAGGCAGGTTGACAACATACAGGAAAATCACACAGTACCAGGAATCAGGGCCCAGCCAAACTGATACATACATTTTTGGGGGGACATAATTCCAACCATGACAATCGATACATAGGAGACAGAGGGGAATAGATTCCTCCAAAAAAACCCATCTCCCGCACTGGAGATCGGCTGATGGCTTTTATAGGGACAGGATTATGGATCTTAGAAGTTTGTGTTAGTTTCCCCTTGAGGTGGTGATGTCTTAGATGAGTCAACCTTCTACTGGTATTCTTAGAGGTTATCTGGTGACATCCTTGGGGATTATCTGGGCTACATCCTTGGGGATTATCTGGCAACATCCTGCTTTTTCTTGTCACAAGATGGGTGCTTTGTTTGATTTTTCATTCTTAGATCATTATCACTTTTTTTTCCACCCTCCAGGGAGGAATATCGGTTAATCTTAAACCTTTTATAGAGACTGGAATGGGAGGGAAAAACAAAATCACGAGACAATGTGTTGGTTAGCAACTGGGAGTAAATAATAGTGAGCTAGGCCTGTGCAGCCTCTTCCACTGGGAAATCACTGGGAACCTTAGGAATAGCTCATTCAGTGGCCTGATGGAAATAAGCAGGGTGAATCATACGCTGTCTATGCTTGACAACAACATAGAGAACTTTGGGTACCAAAGACACATCTTCTCTGCCTATGTTGACTGGCTACCCTCACCACTTTCTAAGTAGAAGTCTGTTTATTTACAAGGGAGTCCCTGGATACTGCAAACTGTTAACATGCTTGGCCGCTTACCAAGGTTGGCAGTTTGAGTCCATCCAGAGGCGCCTCAGAAGAAAGGCCTTGATGATCTACTTCTTGAAATATCAGCCACTGAAAACTCTTAAGGAGCACAGTTCTACTCTGACACACAAGGGGTCGCCATGACTCAGGATCCACTCCATGGCAACTGGTTTGGTTTATTTACAAAGCACCTTCAATCATTTACATCTCAACGCCCCCAAGAAATGTACGACGCAGCCTCAGCGCCCTAATTGTCAGGCTGGAAGCCTCAAGCGCCCCCTGACGACGCCCCACGGCGCTGCAGCCTCGCGGGCACGCAACTATTCCTCATCCGCCAGTCAGGAGCTCCCATGTGCTCGGGATGAGGCCGGAGTGCGAGTGCCCACGCGAGGCTTTCCGGGAAATGTAGTTGGATGACTGGATAAGAACTACAAATCCCCGTACTCACCGCGCTGCAGCCCCGAAGATAGGGGCGCTTTCTGGTGAATCTGAATCTTGTTTGTCCGTGCCATTGGCAGTGCCACAGAAGCCTGATTAAATTTCTTAAGAGGCTTTTGGGAAACACGATAGCTGTTCTGCCAAGTGTTAACGAATGAACTTTGGCTTTTGCAGCGGGTAGTTGTTCGATGTGGCGAATCTGCCGTTGCTACAAAGTGACTAGGCGCTCAGGGCCCCGACAGAACGCTTGAGGAATCTGCTGCGAGAAGGACGCGAGGGTTGCTTGGGTAGCTACTGTCATGGCGGCGACTATCCCCGAGGCTGGGGCGTCGGCGCCTGAGGCGGCGGGTTCCCCCGAATCCCCACTGCAGTACAGCCTTCTTTTGCAATACTTGGTGGGTGACAAGCGTCAGCCCCGGATCCTGGAGCCTGGTAGCCTGGGTGGGATCCCTAGTCCTGCCAAGAGCGAGGAGCAGAAGATGATTGAAAGGGCGATGGAAAGCTGCGCCTTCAAGGCAGCGCTGGCCTGCGTGGGAGGTGAGGCGAGGCGAGTGGGACGCTTGGGAGGTTGAGGGCTTGGACGGCGGCGGGGGCCTCTGCCAAGAAGACCACGCACCTGGGAGGCGAGGGAACTATGGGCCTCGACCAGTTCAGTGAATTTTGGCAACGCCTCTTCTGTTCCTGAGGTTAGCTTTCACCTATGGAAATTGGGTCGGAGAATCGGATACTACTGTCTGGGCGTAGAGGTTATAAAGTGGTTGACTTCATTCACTCGTTGACTAATTAAATTCATTAATTTAAATAATAATTCAGTCCGTAAACTGTTAACTGAGCAACTAGCATGTGCTAGGTGGTGGGGATAGTGAGTGAAAGAGACAAGAGCTTTGTTCCTATGAAGCTAATTAAAATTAATATTTTAATATGTAGAGAGAAAAATATTGAGAGGGACCCTGGCAGAGAAGTGCTGCAGACATAGGGAACAGCAAATGCAAAGGTCCCTAAGGCAGGAACTGGCTTGAGGTTGGAAAAACAGAAAAAGACCAGTGAGACTAAATAGCAGTGAGCAAGAGGGAAAGAAGGCTGGACTTGGCTTTTTTTTTTTTGAAACTTTTGAGGGTTTGAGAGAGTACAGTATCTCTCCAGTGTGCAGGGTAGAGTTTGACCACATTTGCAGATGAGCTTAAATCTCATTGAGAGTGAAGGACATTTAAGAAGTGAACATATTGAGTATGCAAATTTGAAGTATAAAAAACCTGTTGCCTGGAGTCAATTCCGACTCATAGTGATCCTGTAGGATAGAGTACAACTGCCCCATAGGGTTTCCAAGGAGCAGCTGGTGGATTCGAAATGCCGACCTTTTGGTTAGTAGCCTGAGCTCTTAACCACTGTGCCACCGGGGCTCCATTTGAAGTGTAGTAAAAAGACAAAAGATCTTTTTTGGTTAGGGAGGGACACAAGAAGAGGTGAGACTGGAGCTGTATCTTGAAGGATTAAGAAAATGTAGGTAGATAAAGAGGAAGAGAAGTGTCATTTCAAGTTGAGGGTGGAGTGTGTTTCTCCCCCAGAACCGCTGGCTAGGTTTGAACTGCCAGCCTTTCTGTTAGCAGCCAAGTCCTTAACTGTTGAGCTGTTCGGGCTCCTTATTAGGGGACTAATTTTTTTTTTTCTCTTTTGAAGAGTAACAAGCAGTAATGAGTATGATGAATCAGAATGGAATGTGATGAAGGAAAGAAGAGTATAGGGAGGCCATATAGGAAGTTAGCTAGACTGGCGCTCCATGAAGGCAGGGACTGGGTGTTTGACTGTTCATCATTGTGCCCGACTCTAATAAATCACTTATATATTTGTTGAAATGGTGGAGTCTTTGTAGTACTCCAGAGTTGAAGTGATAAAGTGCCTAGACTAGGATGCTAATTGTGGACATAGACGGGGATGAACGTATTTGAAAATCTAGGAAGAAGGATTTTGCCCTATCTGATGACTGGTTGTAGAGGGAAGCAAAGAAGCAGTCAGATATGCCCCTGCAGTTTGGAGCTGGGGTGACTGGAAAGAAGGAGCCATAACACAGAAAAGTCTGGAGAGGAGGTACCCATGATTTCATTGAACATGTATTGACCTTGAGGTGATGAAAGGACATCCGTATGGAAATGTCCAGCAGGTTCAGAAAGGTCAGATGTGGACAGCAGTGTGGGCTTTGCCATTTGATAGCATTTGACCTTGGGGAAGTTGCTTAACTTCTCTGTACTTTGGTTTCTTCATCTATAGTATAGAAAGAAGAGGATAATGGTATTTACCTTACAGGATTCTTGTGAGGAGTAAATTAGGCAATGGCTGTAAAGCACCAGAGGGCCTGGCATATGGTGTTTACTAAACAACTGTAATGACTGCCACCATCTTTAAGGGAGTTATTTGCAAAAGTTGATAGCTGATCTTGAGGGTGGCTTAGTTACATATAAGAGAGTTTAGAGAGAGAACAGAAGGTTAAAGACTGAGTCTTGAGGAATGTTAAGAAATGAAAGGAGAAAAATTCAACAGGAGACAGAGAAGCTAGATCTAGGATTGTATAATTTGGAAATCAAGAGAGAGGAGAGTTTGAGCGGCAGAAGGGAGGGTGTCAGTTATGGCCACCCAAAAGGTTGTGTTCAAGTATGATCCCAATACAGTAAGCCAGAAAACAAGACAAAGAAATCTTCATCTCTGTGGTTTTTCTTAGGATTCGTCTTGGGAGGTGCATTTGGGGTGTTCACGGCTGGCATCGACACCAATGTGGGCTTTGACCCTAAGGATCCTTACCGAACGCCGACCGCAAAAGAAGTTCTTAAAGACATGGGGCAGAGAGGAATATCCTACGCCAAAAACTTTGCCATTGTGGGCGCCATGTTTTCTTGCACTGAGTGTTTGGTAGAATCTGTAAGTGTCTCCGCCATCTGTGAAATCCTTGACTGCTGTCACCTCACTACCTTTAAAAGGAAATGCTCTTAATGTCATTATTAGAAAGTGGATCAGAAATGTCAGATATATGCTAGATGGAATTTCCATTATATAATCCCTAGCGTAAACTTTTTTGGTGTGTGAGCTTATGATGTGGGCTATGATTTTAAACGTTAGACTTATTGGGCTACCTGAGAAGAGACTTTGATTCCTTCTCAAATGCTGCACTTGGTTTCAGTGCTCTGGTGCCACCTGCAGGAAGTATCTCTAAACATTCAAATTTTAGGAACTACACTTTTGAAAGAGAAAGGTTCCTTAGGGGAGGGACTAAATTAGCAAACCAGAAACCCTGTGTGTGTTTCCCGTGATCATCTCGTCTGACTTGTTTCTTTGGCTCTAAACTGCGCTCCTCAACCCACAGTACCGGGGAAGATCGGATTGGAAGAACAGTGTCATTAGTGGTTGCATCACTGGAGGAGCCATTGGTTTCAGAGGTTAGTAGACAATTCTCGAAGGGTTTTTCTTTGTGGCCTTGGGACAGCATGCTGAAGTTGACATTTCCAAACTTACAAGTGTTGCAGGGACAAGCCCAAGGCATATGTGGACACTTGATAGTCTTCCCTTCTGACAAATAAATCTACTTCTGTGTTAACTCAGTTTTGAAACTTGCTAGTATCTAGATCAAGGTTTCTTATCCTTAGCACTATTGATATTTTGGACTGGTTAATTCTTTGTTGTGGGGGGCTGTCCTGTGCATTGTACGATTTTTAGCAGCATCCCTGGCCCCTACCCACCAGATACCAGTAGCACTGTTTTGGTTGTAACAGCTGAAAGTGTCTCCAGACATTGTCAGATGTCCTCTGGTGGGCAAAATTGCACCCAGTTTAGAACCACTGATCTAGATCTATCTTAAAATAAAAAGAGCTGTCCCCAGATTGAAAATACAGGAGAAAACATGAGTAAGAACATCACCCAATAAGTAAGCACTGGAGTGGTTGCTAGTCAGGATGTTACAGAAGCACAGCCAGGTCCCATTCAGCCCTGTACATCCCGTTTGTCCACATACCAGGGCCTGCAGGACTTTCAGCTCCATGCATTCCAAGTGCTTAGACATTTTTCTTAATAACTGTGTGATTGTCGGTTTTAATTTTGTGTGTAAGTTGGCAGAGTGATGTCTTTCTGCAGTTGGAGATTGTTAAATTTCTACTCATTGAAAATCAAATACAAGTATTTAGAAATGTTAGATAATCAGTTGTAAACAAAAAAAGAAACAGACCAATTCCCAGCCATGTCTCCCCGCTAGCGTGTTCATCGTCTCCCATTAGCGTGTTCATCACGAGTTTGTCGTTTGGGCTCAGTGACTTGACTTTCCCGAGTAGTAGTATCCACTGCTGGGCCACTCGCCATCTGTTGTGCCCTGCCTTACCCAGAGCAAAGAGCCTGTTTGTTTTTCATCGTCTCAGAGCCAGGATGATTTGTTGTCATTAAAACCTGCGTTGGGTCCTCAAACAGCCATTTGTGATTTATAGAGTAACTTCTCCTTTGGTCTTCCCATCACTCAGCTTTGTCAGGGCCTCTTTGAGAAGCTCAGTGCCCTCCAGGACTGCTTTGATCACCTTCCCAGGAATTTATTCCATAAACAAATCCGGGTAAAAGGCCATATGCTTTCACTTGATTCCAAGGGCTGGTTCTCTTAACCAGTTTCCTGCCTGTAAGGGGCTATTTCCATGAGACTGGAAATACTAATTCTTTGGGATGAGAAAAGTTAAACGAATGTACGGTTAGATAAAGCACATTGGATTAGGTAGAATACACATACTCTTGAAGTTTTACAGATCTTTGATAGGTGGAATGACTTAGAACGATTCAGCTGGCTTCCTTGCATCTGGGGGTATGCAAACTTTTTGTAAAGCAGCCCAACCCAGCATCTGTCATCACAGTAATAAATCATTTCTGTTTGCTTTACAGCTGGCTTAAAGGCTGGAGTAATCGGTTGTGGAGGTTTTGCGGCTTTCTCTGCTGCGATCGATTATTACCTCCGGTGAGAGGCATTCCCCACAGAAGACGACAGCACCGGCTCAGCATCAGAGCTGTTCAGAGGAGGACAGTTTCTGCACCACTCCGGGGTACTGGCTTGACAGACTGAAGACATTGACTGTTCTCCCTCATGTAGCTGGTGTCATGAGGGAGCTGCCTGGCTGTGCTTTGCCCCGGCTTTCTGAGCAGCAACACTGCTGTTCCTGTAGCCCAGCAGGCTTGATGGGGGAGGTACTGTCAGGTTCTCCCCTGAGGGCAGATCAGGAGGTAACATGTTGACTTTTAGGAATTAATCTCCACCACGTTTCAGTGCTGACCACAGCTGGACCTTTGGAGGTTTGGTACTGTGGGGGCGCACAGGTTCCTTACACACAGCCAGGAGCTGTTCTGCCTTGGCCCTCCATACGGCCGTCCATCTTGCATATCAGGGCAGGGCGAAGTCAGTCCGTGCTGCCAACCAGTTACATCATTTCTGTTTAGCATTCTGCTATCCTTGTGGTGAAAAATAGATATTTATATTACAGTTTAAAAGCTTGGTATATTTTTATCTCCAAATTCCACAATTCCCAAAAAAAGTGCCAGGTGGCCCAGAGATTGAACATCTAAAGGGGAAGAGTGAGAAAGCTTTTGAGAAGTCTGGGATGTTAGATTCTAAGGGTTTGTAGACTACAGTGTTATCCTCACCAAGACTTACACTGGCCAGGCCTCACCCCACCCACCCTAAGGAGCCCAGCCTAGCCACTTCCTAGGCTGTACTGGAATTCCATGTATAGGCCCGATTGGAATCTTCTAACAGTCGCTCCTGTGGGCTGGCTGCTAGGCCTGCCTGCCTGCAGTGTGCTGAACCACATTGGTTTCATGATCTGATCACTGGACCAGGCCCAGCTCAAGGACACATGCGTGAAGGGCCCTGCTGTGGTCATCCTGATGACCAAACCACAGTAGCTATTGTTTATTTTAATATTAATGTTTTCGACTTGACCTAGTCGCGTTTTTCTGACATTAGTAGCTCAGCCTAATTGTGTACGATAAGCCTTTTACAAGTGGGATCTGCCACTGGCGCTTCCTGACTTTGGTGCTCTGGTGCAGAGATGAAACTGATGGCCTCAGGCTTTTGCTCCTGGCAGGGCAGGCAGGCAGGCCCAGCGGGGCCAGGTGATTCTGGCCATCTCCAGCCGGTGGTGATGTTTCTCCTTTTTTCCTACTGTATGAGAACTCCTCTGCCCTTTGTTGCTTTCTTCCCCCTTATCTGCTCTGTTTTCTAGCCCACCCACCTTTAATCCAAAGACTCAGCTTAAATGTACAGGCATCCCGAGTGTGTATTTGTATGTGAGTGATGATGTCAAACACAGCTGGTAACACTTTCCTCTGGCCATGGCTGCTGTTTACTTTGGAATGTGAGCTGGCACCCAGGGCTCATGCCCTTCTATGGTGAAGGCTGTGTAATGCCTGTGCCAGTCTCCTTGCTGCTAGGCTGGTTGGGGCAACCCCAGAGCTCTCAGAACAAATTTAGAAGTGTTTTCCTATACTGTCCCTAAATTACTATTAAACACTTTGAGAGCAAGGGCAGTCATAGTTCCACGTGGCATCTGTCAAAGTGCCGGGGCGCCCAGGATTCTGCCAGTCCATCTAAACATGGGACCAAGCACACTGAGCGAAGGAATACAGAACTGCTGGCCCTCGCCACTGCCTTGGAAAAGGTGAGCCCTGGGGCTGTGAGGAGCCATCAATTCAATAAACCCAGCATTGTCCACTTTGACTATTCAATCAAGAGAGGAGATGAATAGTTTCCTGTTTTAGCTGGCTGGGGAGCCAGTACGAGCTCATAAACCAAACACCAATTCTCACAGACATCTGTTCCTGACCCCTAATAAACAGTGTCCAATGGCTTCAGCTAGTGGGAGCCCACCATTAACCCCACAGGCTCTCCTAAAGGGAGGCTGGGGTCCAACATCCCCCAACAAGTGGGTTACACCAAAGGCTGCCCCAAAGACATACCACTTCGAAGGGAACATTAAGAAAACTCTGAGGAGTTTACATAAAATAAGAAGCCTCTTTAATGGACAACTTCCTGCCATGTCACTGAGGCATAGTGATGGCCAGGTCCCTTGTGGAGCATCTGCACTTCATGAGAGGAACTAGCAGCAAATGCTGAAGGGCGAGGCCAGAAACAGCCTGGCTGGTGGTTAACCTGGAGGCTTTTGGGAAGAACAGAAGGACTGGGCCCACCTCCCCACAAAGCTCTCCCATTCCCCAGAGGCCAAAGGGAAGGCCTCTAGGTAAATAGATTTCTGGAAACACATCTGGATACAGCTGGAAGAGTTAAATATTTAGATTGGTGGTCTTCCCTGTACTACTGAGAATACAAACATCCACACCACAGGGCTGAGTTTTGTGCAAATGTTGGGGGTTTGCTTTTTTTTTTTTTATTAACATTTTCCTCTCACATGGTTTACATCAATTTATAATAATTACATAAGTTGAAACAGAACGTAGACCAAAAAAAAAAATATATCCTTACCAACTTATTAAAGTCAAATATTAATGAAGAGTCCCATCCTATCTGTATCAGCAAATACTCCTGGCAGCCCTCAGCCACTGCCCGGCAAGGACAGGCCCACCTGGATTCGTCACCCATCTGCTGCGCTCCTGGTAGCATAGCCTGCTACCAGGCACGTGGCTGCAGGGGTCTGGGCTGCAGTCACTGACTCAGGAGAACCCACAGGGTATTTCCTCAGCGCAGCTTAGCCCAGCTCTGGTACCTGCCCCTTCCTACTAGGGGTGAACTTTATAAATATGATAAGCCTTCTGCATTTCTCAGCCCTTCCTTAGCCTTCCGTCTGCTCTCACATTGCCTAAGCAAGCCTTGGGGTTGCGGTAGCTACCTGATGCTGAGAAGCAAACATTTCCTTTTTCCATTGGTTTTTGGGAGGAGGGAGGCACCCATTTTTGGCTGCAACCAGCTCCAGTTGGGCCTCCAGTCCGCTACTGTCAGTCACTTTGGAAGCAGGCAAGAGCTTCCATGACACACACCAACCCCTAAGGGCTGAGCAGAGGCTCCAGGGATAGTCACACTGGGATCTTCAGGCTCCAGCGGTGCTCTTTCTCCACCTCCTGTCCCAGAGAGCAGGGCTCCTTGCTAAGCTGCTAACAGGCAGCGGGGTGGTCAAGTACTTTTCTCCTTAGGCATCCCTTTCCTCTTATATGCACAGAATGTGTACCATTCTGCCCAAGATCTGGGCAACAGGTGTAAACGAGGATCAGACAGGACCCTCTCTTGTACTGAGCAAGTATTTCAGCCTGAGGGCCAGCAAACCCTTCTTTAAGATAGCCCTGAGCACAAACATTGGCAGCTACTCACCCCAGTCTTGAGGACCAAGAACCCTCCCTCCTCCAAACAGGAGAGCCAGGGAGCTGCGTGCTGCCGCTCAGGTTCCTGCAGCCACGGAGTCCCTGCCCTCCCAGGCCAGCTGCCACAGGCTAGCGGCCACTGCTCTAGGGAAAACTGCATTTTGGGACACATCCCGCTCCAAGACTCAGCAGTGGGACTCAAAGTTGGGAATGCAATCTGCTGATCCCTTACTCTGGAGTGTCAACAAGGAGACCCCCAGCAAAACCCAGTCCCATGAGAGGCAAGTGCCTGGGCTTCTTCATCCCTCCCCAACGTCTGTAGTTTCCCAGAATTCACCCATAGGGCTGCATCTAGGAGCTAGGGGTGGAATGGCAGAGCTAAATATGGAGGGGCAGCACCATGGCACTGGCCACTGCCAGACTGCCTTTCTTCCCCAGGCCCTGGAGCACACGTGGCAGTGGGCTACCCTGGGCAGAGCTTGGCTGTGGAAAATGTGTGTAAAATCTAAGGCAAAAGTACCGTGAGGTACGCGAGGTGCCCGGGGAAGGACTTGCCTCCTGGACAGAACCTGCCTGTGTCCGGACACCTACTTCAGCCATATCAGCTGCCCTCCTGGAAGCCTGGCTCCCTTAGAAAAGCCACTGCAACTCCTTGCTCCCAAGGGCTGGCTGCTCCCCGACAACCCAGACACCCATGCTGCATGGCACTGCTCTGACTGTCCAGCCTCCCTGTTCCCTCAGCAGCCCGACTCTCCCCGCCTCCGCCCAAATTCTTGCCTGACCCTCTGGCTATCCTGATAGCAGGTCACTTGTAACTCTTTACACTCAAAGGAAACAGACCACCAGGGAAAAGGAACTGAAAAGCAGTAGAAATAAAAACAGTCAAAGATGCCACACTGGAAGGCAGAAGACAGAACAGATAAACCCCCAAATTGGAGATTCCCAAATGGAAAATTCCAGAAATCCGCTCTCCAGCTCTGTGCAAAGCTGGGGATTAGTGTAGTCCTGTCTCCTTGTCCAACATTTGCACAGGCAGCAAGGCAAAGCAGGTGTGCTTCCACAGGCGGGAGGCGAGGAGAGGGCTGGGGGCAGCACCCGCAGGATCAGACCCGCTGTGGCCACTGCCACCCAGGGCCTCCACAGAACTGCCAGGATGATGGAGCGGAAACTGAGGCCTTGCATGCAGGCGGGCCGAGCTGGAGGAGAGGGCAGGGAAAACCGAGCGGAGGCTGCCAGGAGACTGTCATCTGGGAGCAGGGCCAGGAGAGGGTAAGCTGGCAGCAGCTACACAGCAAAATAAAAGCCCTCGCACTGGACTCAGAAGGAAAGAAAGTGTTGGAGGCAGTGAAAGAACAAAGCAGGCTCTCTGTGTGCCCAGACCGGGTCAGTCACTACCTTTTCTGCATGACAAATATACATAAAACGATTCCCAAACAGCACGGAGCATCAGACACAACTAGAGATATGCAGGGCAGGAGCCGGGGGTGTGGTGGTGAGGGCTGGGGGCTGGGTCACCTGGCTTTGTACAAGGTGGCATAAAAGATGCACATATTCCAGTTCTTAGAAATCTGCTTCCCTTGTAGTCTGGAGTGCTGGGGTTGGGAGTTTTCTATTGCAGTCTTTCAAGTCTCTGTTGGGCCTCCCAGCGGGAGAGGCTGGCTCTGGCCACCCCCCTGGCCCCACCCCACAAAGCTGCCCCAGCCTCAGGCTACACGTCAGTGGAGAAGTACAGTGTGTTCCGCTTCAGTTCTGCGAAGGAAATGGGGGGGTGCTGCAGGTAGTAGAGGAGGACCTGGACCTGTGGGAAAAGAGACAAGACTGGGGCTGGGGTCCTTGGCCTCTCAGCCCTCCTCATCTGATCTGTTGAGTAGAAATGGCCCCTGGGCTGGGGGCAGACCTGGCTCTGGCCATCTCCCCTTCCTTGGAAGCCCAGGTGTGTTTGCCCATCTTCAGCAGTAGAGGGCGCTGCAGGGCAGAGGGTGGGGAGCCTGGGGCAACTTCCAACTCCCTACCTCATCTGAGGTTGGCTTTCTCTTGGCAGCCATCTCTCAGACTGGCCCTGCCCCTGGTCTTACAGGGATCTCAGAGAAGCTTCCTGGACCTGGAGCAGTCCCAGAGTTTCCATGCATGAGGCCAAGGCCTTGGCTTTTCTTTCTACCCCCGAGCTTGCTGAGACTGTGAGGTAGTCACGGGAATGCAGTCAGCTCCTGAGGCAGACATTCCCCGGGGGTCTGGTCTGGGCTCCTACACTTTGTTTTGGTCTGGGAGGGGCAGGACTGTCCACAGCCCGGCCTCCCTGGTGACATCCTACAGATAAGCTACCAGCAGCCCGGGGTAGGGAGGGCGTGGGAACTCGGAGCTGCTCTCCACACCCTCCACCCACCGCAGGCCTGGAGAGTGCTGGTAGTACCTGGGCCATGACATCATGGGACCAGATGTCCGCAGCTGACGTGAGATGTGCTTTGCTCTCCACTTCTGAGGGTCTCAGTAACGTGGGGCCAAACACGGTAGCCAGGTTGTGAAGGGACATTTTGTTGATGGGTTCCTTCTCAGCAACCCTGAAAGGGAGGGGAGGGGAGAAGAAGGAAAGCATTTCTAAGCAGCCACTTTGCACTCCGGGACCCCAGCCTTACCAAAAATTCCCAAAATGTGCTCACTAATCTTCCCTCTCGTAAGGTAGAGACCTCCTGGTGGGCCTGGCCAGGCTTGGCCCAACTGGAACTAATGTTCTAGCTATGTCCCAGTACATTCCTGTAACATATTCCTAGCTCCTGGGCCACACAAGGATCCACAGACATCATCCATTCAAACTTCTTTGTCTCAGAGGTAACAATGTTACTGTTGTAAGAGCTTTCCCTGTAATAGCTCATCCTTATCAATCTTTGAGGCAGGTATGATTATCATCATCATCCACATTTTACAGATGAAGAAACCAAAGTGCAGAGAGGTCAAATAACTTGCCCAAAGCCATGTGGTAGTAAGTAGTAGAGCTGGGATATGAACCAGGCAGTCTGCCGACAGAGTCCATGCTCTTAACCACTCTACTACTCACCCTTGGTCCAACATCAAGTGCTAGTAAGCACCCCGGAAGAAGAGTCAGAATGAGTGGGGCTGAGGCAGGGGAAGAAAGGTCAGAGGGCCTGGGGCACCAGCAGCAGCTGCTAACTAGATATGAGTCTCTCCTTAATCCTATCTGGAGCCCAGGGGCTGTCCTCCCATGCCTTTCCAGAAGGGTCTGCCTCCTGGACCCCAGAGTTGCCTCCCTTTGGATTCCTCCCCCCTTCTCTTATGTAACAGGCCAGATGCTCTGTAGATACATCCCCTTAGCGACAAGCAGGAGTTGCCATCTGTGGCTGGTGTCCCAGCAGGCCCAGTATCACCCCACATCAGTTAGAAGAAATGTTTCTGGGGCTGAGACCCCCTTGCCCCGAGCGGCACCTCTCAGCCCATTCCCTAGGATATCATCATTCCTACCCTCTGGGCGAGCCATGGATGTGCCTGCTGGCTGCTATGGAAATAGGCAGACAAACATTGTCACACCAGGAGGCAGCTGTGCGGCTTGCTAGCCCAGCCCCTCACCACACACCTACATACCCACACACACACACCCACACCCACCACACACACTCACCACACACCCACACCCCCACACACCCCCAGGCCAGGGGCCCAGATGTGGGAACAGACTGTGCCCGGGTCCCAGTTCCCAGGGTGGAAAACCTAATGAATTTTCCCTTCCCACTCCTCCCCCCTGCTCCTCCCAGTGCTCGCCAAATTATCTGGGAATTGGTTGGGACTCTGGTCCTGGCCAAACCAGAGGGAAAAGTGTCTCATAATGGGGTAAACAAGACACCAGCGCCAGCGGCTTCCTGAGCCGGCCTGGCTGAAGCGAGGCTGGGAGCCTGGGCCTCAGGGAAGAACTGGCCCATGAGAGCAGCCTCCTCTCTTCCTTGCAGCCCACTCCCGGGGGGGGGGTCCCTGGTCCCCTCATCCTGGTTGATAGGTGGCTGTAAAGGATACCCCATGATTCTTCCTATTCACTCATGCCCAGGACAAACCTGGGCTCAAAAGTGAGGGGCGAAGACATGGATCAACCTTGGAAACATCACGCTGAGTGAAACTGTTAGTTGTTGTCGAGTCAGTTCTGACTCACAGCGACCTGATGTACAACAGAACGAAACACTGCCCAGTCCTGCACCATCCTCACAGTTGTTGCTGTGTCTGAGCCCATTGTTGCAGCTACTGTGTCAAATTAGTCAGACAAAAGAGGACAGATACTGTGTGATCCCATTTATATGAAATATCTAGAACAGGCAGATGCATAGAGACCAAAGTTGATTAACGGCTACCAGGGGCTGAGGGTAGACCAAAGTGGAAACTTACTGCTTAGGGGCACTGAGCTTCTTTAGGGTGATGGAGAACATTTGGAAACGGATAGTGGTGATGGCTGCACAACATGATGAATGTAATTAATGTCACTGAATTGTACATGTAAAATCGTTCGGATGGCAAATGTTTGGTTATATATATTTTACTACCAAGGGAGCGACGAAGACACCTTCGGGGCTAGCTTCACTTCTGAACTTTATGGCAGGCCTCAGCCTCAGCAGCTCTCGGTTTGACCCAGTGTGTCGGGGGGAGGGGGAGCGGTGAGAAGGGCCTTAGTTTAGGATTTGGGAGATGTGGGTTCTAGGGACAGATCCGCTGCTACCTCAGGGAAGTCTCTGCTGCTGTTCGGGACTCAGTTTTCCTGCATGGGGGTCTAGGCCAGTGGGTTTCAAGCTTTTCTGACTATGATCCACAGTGACAAACACATTTTTCATTGTACCCCAGATGTTGTTGCCAGTTACCATCGAGTCAGTTCTGACTCGTGGGGACCCCATGTGTGCAGAGTAGAATGGCCCATAGGGTTTTCAAAGCTGTGACCTTTCAGAAGCAGAATGCCAGGCTTGTCTTCTGAGGCACCTCTGGGTGGGTTCGAACTGCCAACCTTTTTGCTAGTAGTTCAGTGCATAACTGTTTATGTCACCCAGGGACGCCTATACCCCAGTACACGTCTATATACAACTGAACAAAACAGCAATGCTTATGCTTACCGCTTTTGTTATTCCATTTCCTGAATGAACCATTGATAGGTTGGGACCCCTGATTATAAAATCCATTTACTGTCCCTGGCTCTAGCCCCGCTGCTGTAGCAAACCTAGCTATTTCTCAAAAGAGAAGAATGTGAAAAGCAAACTCTCACCCTGCTACGGTTGGCCCCATAGAGGCCGTTGCCCATGAGGAAGAGGAGAAGAGGTGGGTCCCTGCTTTCCCCTGAGCTGGGCCCGTCTGTACTGTCCCCTGGGCCCCGTTACCTTTTCAAGTGTTCCAACAGGAAGAGGAAGGTGATGAGGTTGGGGTCGGGCAGGGAGCGGAGCAGGTGCATCATGCAGTTTTCCTTGGCAGCAGGGTCTGACAGGGCTGGGGGGACACAAGGGGGTAGACAGCGCTGGGCTCGGCTCCAAGGGTGGGGAGGGGCTCCACAGCCCTAGGTAGAGCCCCCATGGTCATGAGGCTGAGGGACCCAGAGGGAGAGCCCAGGCTGCCCGTGCTTAGGGAGCAGACCTGGCAGGGAAGGACCTGGCGTCTGGGTGGGCTGTTACCAGCTGGTTCCTACCAGAAGGCCCACCAACCCATGACTGGTAAGTAAGCCAGAAGGCAGGCTGGTGGGCTGGGGGGAGGAGACCCCCTTCCTTCTCCTCACTGCCTGGGCCTTTGCCACTGCTGCCCGTCACCACTCTGTCTGTAAGACTGCATTTAAGACAAAGGTGATGTCTGCTGCCGATGGTGTGAACGTCTTTCTCCTTCAACCATCTCTGATGCTGGGGCGTCAGGGGAGCAGCCTTCCATGGGCTCCTCATTCCCCGCAGGACGGAGCCCTGATCTGAGCCAGGACCCTCTGCCCCCTCGCCCACCTATGGCGTAAGGTGAGGAGGTAAGAGGGCGGCCATGCTGGAAGGCTCAGCACAAGCCATCCCACGTGCAGTCCGGCTCTAACCAGGCTCCTCCTTGGCTCTGGGGTACTGGCCCCTGACCACACACCTCAGGGCAGTTCTTCCTAGCCACCTGAGTGTCCACGTAAGGAGTTCAGTGTCCAAGTAGGAAGCACAGAAGGCAGCCCGTGGAGACAGTGAGAGGAAAGGGGGTCCAGTTCTGGATCAGGTCTCAGCAGGCCACAAGGCGCCCTCCAGGGCATCCTGCCATGCAGCCCTGGTGCACTGGGAAGCATGGGTGAGGAAGGGGAGCCACAGATACGTTCTCTTGTCTCTACTTTGCTGGTCAGGGAGGCCTGGCCCAGCCCAGCCCTCCCCTCAGGACCCCCGGGAGCCTCACCAATGCCCTCCATGAAGGCTGGGTAGAGTCGGTCTGTGAGGAGGGGCTCAGGCAGCTCCCGGAAGTACAACTTGAGGGTGCCCGCGATAGCGTTGATGTCCATGTCGCTCAGCATCAGCAGGATGTCCTTGTTGTCTGTGGAGGAAGGTGTGAGCTCAGGGGCTGGGCTGGCCTCACAGTCACCCCTTTTTCCCATGCAGCCCTCGGCTGGGCAGGTAGCCCTGTTCCAGCCCCCACACACATCCTGAGACAACTCAGCCAGGAGCCCCCTCACCCACTCTGCCTCTGGTTCTGGTCTCCCCCAGAAAGGCAGGATGCAGGCAGTGCCCACAAATCATCTGTGACTCAACTCTGTTGGTGGGGGACAGGGGCTGAGAGAGACAGACTTTGGCCCCCAGGGAGGGATGGTGTGCAATGCCATCACCCAGAGTTCTGGAGCCACATTCATACCACACGGCATGAACCCTCCTCCCAACAGGAATCTCCCCATCGCCAAGTTCCTCTCTGGAAGGCACTGCACATTTTTTACACTTAAAATCATGTTCCAGCCAAGCCTCAGCTTCCAGGCCACACACAGGAGTATGTGCCAGCACGTCCCCAGCCCCCTGTCCTCTGCCCCCCACTCCCCCACCAAATCTGCTGGCTAGCTGCCCGGGAACACCCAGCAGAGCCACTGGTCACTCCCCTCACAGAATCATCACTGCCCGGCCATTCAGGCTCCCTGACTACTGGTTCTCCCTGCTGCTGCTGCCTAAACCAGCAGCATCGGGGAAAAGACACCAGAGTGGGAGGGCCTCCCACCAAGGAGTTCACAGTCAATGCTAGAGGCTCCCAAAGGATACTCGGGGCCCTGAAGATGCCAGAGAGGAGCGGAGCCAGCCAGCTCAGGCTCAAATCCCTTCAATTTTCCCCAAGCCCACGAGGCACCCAGGAGCTAGCAAGAGAGCCAGAACAGAGACTCTGGAGTCAGAAAGATCTGAGTTTAAATCCAGGCGCAAAGCCTACAAGCTGGATGGGCAAGTGACCTGGCCTCTCTGAGCCTCAGTTTCCTTATCTATAGCAATGTAGAGAGGTTGGAGGGGAGAAGGACAACATGAGAAAGGCAAAAGAAGCTCTCACGACAGGGACTTCAGAAGGGCCCACCCCATGCCACGCTGGACTGGAGACTGAAGACTAAGGTGACTCTGCCATGGGCTAGTCCAGGCCTCCTGGTTCCACTGACCTGCCCACTGGCCCTACCAGCCTGCCTGGGCACCCCCTGGCCCCACCGCCCTGGCTGGGCCTCCCAGACTCACTGGCATCAAAGACGGCCTTCAGCGCCTGGATGTCTGTGGCCACCCCTGATATCCGGTAGATGCCGACCTCCTCAATGCCCCGCTTCTCCACCTCCTCCACGCACTGCCGGACGATGTAGGGCACCTTGGAGCGCTCCCGCCTGGGGGTGCAGGTGATGTCAGGGGAGGGTCTCCCGATGACAGTTACACTGTAGTCACCCCCCACCAACACACCTTGGCCTTGGAAAGCTCTAGCCTCTAGATCAGGAGGGTGGGGCAGGAAAGGGTGAGAGAGCCCATACACCTCCACCCCGCCCGAGGCCTGCCTGCTGATGGCCAGTCAGGGCCTGAGGCATAGGCAGCAGATAAGCCTGATGACTCTGGGGAAAAAATGTTCCCCTAGAGCAGACGTCTCAGATTCAAACGCTTATGGGGCCCCTGGCAGCTACCTTACATGAGTGAGGTGGGGCAGATCCTGGAGACTAAGGAACGGAGGTGGGGACAGCAGTGGTGAACTGAGGACCATGCCCTTCCCAGGAGGGCAGCCACCACTTAGATTCCAGCCACTCCTCCCAGTCAAAATGTGGGCTGCAGTCGTCAGATCCTCCCATTTGTCACAAGAAGCTGGCCATCAGGGTTTCACGGGAAAGCTTAGTGTTGGCTTGTTTATTTCTAAAGCATTGTGGGAGCCAGCGAACACTCCTCCAGACTGGCCGTGTGTGCTAACCAAACTCAGTGGTGACTGATCGGGTGCCAGGCATGGCAGAGATGGCTGGAAGGCAGGGGCTGGGGGGACCCGGGGCGCTGATCCCTGCACCAGGCCCCAGAAGCAGCACCTACTTCGTCACCACGCTGATCTTCACACCAAAGACGCCAGTCTGCTTCTTGGATGGGGTCCTCTTCAGACTCATATCTCGGCTGGTGAATTTCATGGAGAATTCCACTTTGATCTGGTTGGGAGTGAGGCAGGCATGAGTCCCCCAGGGCATGAGTGCCTGAGAAGTGTCCCCAAAACACAGAAAAGCCCCTCCCCAGGACTGCAGACAAGGGCTTCCTCTGGCACCCAGGGCTCCCTGAAACGGGACGGGGTGGGGAAGAGGTAGAGGAGGGGAGGGGAGAGGGACTGGGCTTGGAGGGTTGAAGGCAGCACAGCATCTGAGGAAACAGCCCGGGGGGCAGGGGCAGGGCCACCCACCCACTGCGCAGACACTTCTATCTCCCCTGGCTCACCCCATTCATCTCGATCACATCCGTGTGCCAGTTCTTGGTTTCCACCGTTTGTGGATCCAACTGCAGAGAAAGCAAGAATGTGAGTGAGAGAGATGCCAGCTCTTGGAGACCCAGCCAGAGCTCCCCCTGCTGGTCAGCAGCTGCTCATGTGTGAAGCTCCACTCTGTGGGCTAAATGGTCAGGAAGGCAGACGCAGGGCCTGATGCTCTTCTTGAAATCAACCCTTCAGGAGGCTCCATTCCCCAAACAGGAACTCCCTTGGCCCTCCCAGACCCCTGTGATGGATGGGCAGGGCACACTCTGTTAGGCTCCTCTGCCTATCTCACCTCTTGGATCCCGACCATCCTATGAGATAGGTATTATCACCCATTTTACAGATGCAGAAAATGGAGGTTCACAAAAGGTAAGCCACTTGGCTCAACCACAGAACTGGAGTTGTCAGGAGGGCATGCAGTGCCATGCTACGCACATGGAAGGTGTGGAAGGGGAGGCAGCGTGAGGCAGAGGTTAAGAGCCCATTCTCAGGGGTCAGGCAGCGTGGGTTTGAATCCTGGCTCTGCCTCTTCCAGCTGTATGACTTTGGCACATTTTAACCTCTCTCAGCCTGTTTCTTCATCTGTAAAATGCAGCCAGTGACAGAACCTGCCTCACCGGACTGGTGTGAGGATGCAATGGGATAACTCAGGCTAAGCGAGTGGTCCCTAACTAAGCAAATGCTCTACAGGGGAGGTCCCAGTGACTGGGGCTGGAGCCTCGATGAAGCGGGGGACAGCAGAGAGAGCCAGAGGCATCCCTCATGTGGGACCATACAGGACACCGTCCCTAACTCAGTGGCCTTCAAACTTTTGCTGGTGTACCCACAGAATAATTTTGAAAAACCATGCAATCCCTGGCACATTTTTAAGTTGACATCTGAATATTTTCATGGCAAGTCTAAATAGTTGCAAAGAATACCACTTCCAGAACAATGTAAATGTTGACATCTTAAAATAAAACTGTTACATCATTCCTTCAGTGTATTCAATGGAATCTACATACCATAGTGATTTGATACCTACCATCATCCATTTAAAAAATGCACGAACAAGCTCTTCTTTCCCCTGCATCATTCCCTTTTCTTCCTGAATTTATACTTCTATCCCATTTCCCCCCAAGAATTTTGTCCTCGTTTTTTATAAAGTCTTATTTATCACCCTATATTTTGCTTCAGCAAACTTATCTGTATAAATTGAAATTTAAAATTTCCTGAGACCACAAGGCTCTAAGTATTCAAGATACATTTTGGATTAGTTATTACAATGATGGTTGTTGTCAGCTGTGTGGAGTTGGCCCCTGACTCGTGGTGACCCCATGCACAATGGAACAAATGAAGTTGCCCGGTCCTGCGCCATCCCTGTGATCCATAGGGTTTCATTGGCAAGCGTCCCCTGACAGACAGGTGGTGGCTGCACATGAGGTACACTGGCTGGGGATTGAACCCAGGTCTCCTGCATGGAAGGCGAGAATTCTACCACTGAACCACCACTGCCCCCATTATAATGACTGTTGTGTGCTGCTGAGTTGATTCTAACTCATCGTGACCCTGTGTGACAAAGCAGACTGCTCCATAGGGTTTCCTAGGCTGTAATCTTTATGAGAGAGATTGCCAGGGCTTTTCTCCCACGGAGCAGCTGGTGGGTTCGAAGCACCGACCTTTCAGTTAGCAACCAAGTGCTTAACCATTGCGCCACCAAGGGCTCCTTATTACAATGATTAGCAGTACACAATTAAAAAACCAACACATTACAAATTTTAATAAGGATGAAGCAGCCACGTAACATTTTATTGGAATGCGTCTCTTAATGAGAGGGGGAGAGCATTTTTCCTTTCTCCTTCATGTATTGACATGAATATTATTTTCTGCTAGAATGAAACAGGGCTCCGCATCGATTCTGTTCATATTTTTTGGTTTTTATTTTTAAAGATGGAAGTGATGAAAAGTCTTGTTCCCATAAATAAGTAGATGGGGGCTGAAAAGTGTTTCATTATAGCAATGTTATGTAATTCCTTAAACTCTTTCCACATTATTTGCCTTAAATAACATATACAGCGTTGTAAAAAATTATTTTAAATGACCTTTCAGCTGACAATCAGGCTCTCCGTTGGAAATCAAAGAAATGGAAACCAGTTGACTTGCGGAAGTATCGGTAACCCGGTCATTACTTTCTCAACACCCATATGAACATTTCAGATGGCCCCTCGGTTTGGCACCCAGGAGGTCTGGCACCCTGGGCCAGAGCCCCACAGACAGCCTGGGGCCCTCCCTCTGTAGAGGGAGAGAGGGGATGGGGAAAGGCCTGTTCTCAGCTAAGTCAGTTTTTGGAAGTAGCCCCTATGGGAGTTGAGGGTCTGTAAACTGATGCCCTTAAAACACTCCCTGCCCACGGACCCCCTGGAAAGTCTGTGTACCCCCAGGGACGCGTGTACCACGGTTTGAATGCTGATGCTCTAACAGCCACAGTCCCACCACAGAGGGAAAACCGGAACTGGGTCAGCCCAGGGCTTCTACAACACGAGGTGAGTCCCTCTGGTACCTCCTACCACCCACACAGCCTGGCTGGGAATAGGGGCACCCAATCCACTGACGGGGCCTGGTCTGCACCTAGCTCACTCTTACTCTGTACCTGGGCTAGCTATGGCCCAGGCCCGGCCTTCAGCAGTCAGCTCCCAGCCTGGAGGAGGCAGAGACTAAGAAGGGAGGGAGAGTGGTATGGAGACAACTGCTCCCCCCGCCCCCCGCCCCGTTATCTCCTCAAACACGCAAGGGAAGTGTGCAGGAGCCACCAGCCTGGGCACTGTCTCTTGTGGACTTGAGAGTAGGCACTCAGGTTTGGGAAGGTGTGCAGAATTAGCCACGGGCTGGGTTCTCTATTCCAGAAGGCTCTGAGGCCAGTGTCCTACTGGGTCCCCAAGGTCTCACTTACCTGAAGCTTCCCTCCCCTCTAAACTTCCATATGCCCTAAACCCCCACTGGGCCTATAGCACAGGCTGCAGCAGTTCCTTCACCCCAACCAGACCCACTGGGTCTTGGACACAGGGCCTGGGTCTATCCTTGGCTCTGTCCCCCAGCAGTGACCACACAGAGCCACACACGGGGTTGTTATTGTTAGCTGCCATTAACTGGTCTCTGACTCATGCCATCCCCATGCACGACGGAACAAAACGCTGCCCGGTTCTGCACCATTCCCATGATCACTTATGGATCAGTCTACTGTGATCCACAGGGTTTTCACTGACTGATTTTCAGAAGTAGATTGCCAGGCCTTTCCTCCTATCCTGTCTTAGTCTGGAAGCTCTGCTGAAACCTGTTCAGCATCATAGCAACATGCAGGCCTCTAGTGACAGATGCGTGGTGGCTGTGCATGAGGCGCACTGGCCAGGAACGGAACCCAGGTCTCCTGCATGGAAGGTGAGAGTTCGACCACTGAGCCATCACTGCGCCCAGACACCAGCTAAAACTAAAAAGCCAAACCCACTGCCACTGAGGTGATTCTGGCTCATCGCGACCCTATAGGTCAGAGCAGAAATGCCCCCTAGGGTTTCCAAGGCTGTATAATCTTTATGGAAGCAGACTTCCACATCGTCTCTCGCGGAGCGGCTGGTGGGTTCAAACTCCTGGCCTTTTGGTTAGCAGCTGAGCGCTTAACCACTGTGCCACCGGGGCTCCTTGGACACTGGACAGAGAGAACTTAATTGCTCTTCGTCGACTGACTGAGCCAGATGCTACTTGGGAGACACATTCTGGAGAGACCAACCCCTTTTAAAGCCCATCTCTCCAGCCATCAGCATAAACCCCGGGCTGATTCCATGGCCCTGGTACCTGGTAGGATCTGCCTAAAGCCCCACCCTGTCCCTGATCACCATGACCTGGTACCTCCTGGCAGCTGCCACAGACTGAGATGATGGTCCCTCCCTGAGTCCAAGCGTGGGATCTGGACACAGGTCTCGAGTAGGGAAGGACTGGGAGTCAGAAAGACCTGGGCCCAAATGTTCCCTCTTCCATTTGCTGGTCAAGTCATTTCATCTCCTTAAACCTCTTTCCTCATGTAGGCAGCCGCACCTACCTCACAGGATTGTTATGGAAAACAGTAACAGCAACTGACAATATTTTGAGCACTTCCTATAAGCCGGACACTGTGACAAACCCTTAACATCCAGCATCTCCACCCATTATGATCACAAGCCTATGAAGTGTCTGCCTTTCTACCTGCTCCTGTGTGACAGATGAAGACTCTGAGGCGTCAGAGATCATGGAAACTGCCCAGGGCTGCACACCTAGGAGTGAGAGCTGGACACAAAATCAAGTCTCCCTGACTCACCCGCTTTGCTGAACTGCAAGATAATGTGTGAAGTACCAGCCTGGCGCCTGCTCCTCTCAGCAGCAACAGCAGCGGCTGCCATCATTATTTACTTAGAAAGGAGACGTCGGGCCTCGTGGTGTGTGGTTTGGCCCCGCAGGGAGACCTGGGTGCTGGCAGGCTGCCTCCTGTTCAACTCTTCCATCCCCTCCTTCCCTATCCCTTCTGTTCCAGCTGATGAGTAGCAACCCTGCGTTTCCTGGGAGCATCCAAGCCTGGAAAAGCAACTCCTGAGGCTGAGAGTCTTCCCTGGATCACCCCAAGCCACAGGAATCTTCTCTTCCCCCCCCCGCCTTCCTGCCCCTCTGCAGCCTGCGGAGCACCATTTGCTCTGTTTCACACGCACCAGCCTTTCAGAGGCCAGACCTGGGCAAGGTGGAGCTGTACTGCTTTACTGTGAGTCTTCACCACTGCCATCTTCCTGGTCCCTGCGGCAGGTGTGGCCCTGGTGCTCCCTATGGGAGGCATGCCCAGCTCCCCAGCACCCCGACAATGGAGCTCTGTCTCCCAGGAGGCCAGCAGCCTCCAGAAACCAAATCTATTTCAGGATGTCATTTAAATACAGAGTAGGGAGGGTGAGGAGTGGAGAGAGACATGGGCACATTTTCCAGAGAAATGATGTTGCCTGAATAGCTGTGGCTATTTATAACCCCTGGGAAATGT